CGAAAAATGGACCGTCTTCCAAGTTCAGCAGTTGCACCCCTCGAAGTATATATATATATATGCAAGAACACAAAGCGACCCACTGACCCACTGGAAATTTGTACTAGGCCGAGTTTCCATGTGTTCATTGATTTACACCAAAACACAAAAATAATGCATCCTCCTAGCTTGCACTTGTACCCTCTTTTTACCATTTTTTTTGGAGGGGGGGTGTTGTGGCCACATGAAATGTTCTGTGTGCAGCTGATAGAAAAACCCTTGTGCGTGGTGGAAACCACTGCCATGCAAGACTGATCAAGACTGGCCATCACCTGGAAGAGACAGTCATTTTCCATTCGGAGATGTGGCTTGTTAGGGTTGAACACTTTGACTTGGGACGTCCATCACCGTTTTAACCCGCGTGCCTGGTACAAGGTGATCGGCTGTCTTTCCTTGGTTTCGGCAACGCTGTGGGCCTATTTCGACTATTGCAACGCAGTGCCCAATTGGGCCGCAGATGAGAAGACGGCCGAGTGGGCCGCAAGGTCCAGTCTCGACACCGCTTCCTACCAGCACAGCACAAGACCCACAAAATTCGCATCCACAGCTACGACCTCAGCTAAAATGGAGACCTCTTCATCCACCATTCCAGCCTCCACAACAGCGAGCTACCCACCGGGAAACAAACCAACCTGGTCTAGCTCATTTGGATTGATCTGTGATGAGAAAGAAGTCCAGAAGAAATTGAAGAAGCCAATACCAGAGGACACTTGGATTGATTTAGTTGGATGAGCGTGACTCAAAAAAGAACATTGTGTGTTTTTGTGCATTCAAAGATGGAGTTTGCATTCAAGTGGATGAGGTCTACTTGTACAATCAAGTTCTGCAACCCTTTTGGTGGAGTAACCCAGAAACGGCAAAAACAGGACACTGAAGTGCTGGGCTAACCCCATGGGCCAAGGGTCTTGCTTTTCGGGTCACTAGAATCACGTCGGGAATGACCCATTTTGGGACAAGGCAGGAAGGACGTAGCTGTGTTGTACATCCCTATCCCTTTGGCTGCAGACATGCTAGAAGGTCGACCAAACGTTTGTCAGGGGGCAGCTTGCGAGACCTGCTTGGCTATTGAGGCCAGCCACAGGTTTTTGATTGACCAAGCTAAGGACCGGTTTCAAGATCCCACTTCCCATTTCCTTGGCTGCGTTTGCATTTTTGTGCTGGTGACCAGTCTCATGGTCATTTACATAGAGACAATTCTGCAACCATTGGAGATGAATCCCAAGAGGATGGGCCTTTGGTTGGGTGCTCTACTGGTGCAAGTCCGGATCACTTTGGATGACAAGACCTTAAAGGAAGAGGAAGGATACAACAAAACACCCCCCACAAAGAAGCATCAGGCAAGCCAGCGCGAAGCCTATTACTACAGCGGCTCGTCCAAGAAACGTTTGAATGCCACTGACTATGGGGGACGCCGAAAATGCCAGGAGCAAATAGACCAAGGTTGGAAAACTCCATATCTTATCATATTTCCTGCTCCAGGCTATAGGGGCTCAAACTTCTCAATGGTGTGGCTCTCGATCGGAGTTTTGGTTGCGGGTGCTGCTGCCGTGCTGATGCTGGTGCAGGTGCAGGTGCTGGCTGTGGATCGGTGTTTTGGTTTTGCTCTGGATCGGCGTTTCGATTTTGTAGGTGCTGCCGCCGTGCCGGTGCAGGCGCTGGCTCTGGATCGGCGCTTTGGTTTTGCAGGTGCTGCTGCCATGCTGATGCAGATGCAGGTGCTGGCTCTGGATGAGCCTTTTGGTCTTGCCGATGCTGCTGCCGTGCTGATGCTGGTGCTGGATCGGCGTTTTGTTTTGCTGGTGCTGGTGCTGGTGCTTGATCGGCGTTTTGTTTGGCCGGTGCTGGCACCGCTGGTGCAGGCGCAAGCTCTGGATCGGCGCCTCGTTTTTGCGTCATGCCAGGGATGACATCATGTCACGCCAGGGATGCCCGGGATGACATCATGCCATGCGACATCATGTCATGCCAGGGACGACATCACGTCATGCCAGGGATTACATTATGTCATGCCAGCGATGACATCATGTCACGCCAGGGATGACATCATGTCACGCCGGAGAAGGCATCATGTCATGCCAGGGATGACATCATGCCATGCAACATCATGACATTCCAGGGATGACATCGCGTCATGCCAGGGATGACATCATGTCATGCCACCGATGACATCATGCCATGCCAGGGGTCAAGGACCAGCCAAAGCTGCCCAGACGAAATGATCAGTGCTGCACAGCGCGGTGTCACAGACAAAATGACAGGGTGTCATACTTGGGATGACACGATGCTGTCCCTGGCATGACATGATCATGATGTCGTCCCTGGCGTGACATGATGTCATCCCTGGCGTCACACGATGTCGGTCCTGGCATAACATGATGTCATCGGTGGCATGACGTAATGTCATTCCGGGCATGACACGATGTCCGATCTTGCAGTTTTACGACTGTGTTGGGCAAAGCGGGCGCATTCAGCTGATAGATGTTGCGCACATTGGTGGACTGGTCTGGTGTGGCGTGCTGCGGTGACGGCCGTCCGTGGCGTGTCCTTTAAACCTTTACACCCGGTATCTGGGGTCTATGCCGCTGAAACTTTAATGTAGCCATTGCAGGCGTGCAGACCTTTAAGGCACAGCAGTTGGAGCCTTGCACATGGAGACTCACCCCCTTTTGTGCTGACAAGAGAGTGATCTGTAGCTCCTCAGGCCAGCTGCAGCTGTGTGAGCATCAGGCGACCGATCTGGCCTCCGATTTCGAGAGTGAAGGCCGGACAAGAGGTGTAGGGGAAATGACACGACCCTTGCTGCGACCAAAACATTGCTATTTTTAGAATTTCTTACGTCCTGGTCGCTTTTTGTGTCAGAATTCAAGGAATCGGATTTAGATATTTGGGCACTCCTTATTTCGGCCAAAGGCAACCTACCTACCAAAACCAAACTATGAGGAACACCCCCTTCACCATCCCAAAATTGCACCCCACACTCAAAAACACCCGACGCGTCGAGCTGGCACGAGGTGACGAGCACGGCGCCAAGAAAACGCCAGATGCTTGACTTTGAACGAACGCCGGATCTCAAACGAGGCCCAGGTCATGAGCAAAAGTTCAAGTGTGATGGATGGCTCCTAGAACAGGTACCCTGTTCCAAAAAAGGCAGCATGGGACGGAGGCCCTGGCAGTCGTGCACTGCCACAGCCTCCGGGTTTAGTTTAATATAATTAACATCCCAAGAGGCAGGATAAACCTTCGGCGGTTTTTCGCCTAAAAAACCGAAACCAAAGCCCTTTAGAAGAAGTAAACCCGACCATGACCGCAGCTAAACGGAATGTTTTTATTCCAAAACTGAAGGTTTTTATCACAGAGCATAGTGTTCCCCGCTGGAACTGGGATTGGAACTCCACCCCCTTCAAAAAAAACTATTTGTTTTATCAGAGGAACTGGAATCACAACTAGATCTGGAATAGACCTGAATCTAGAACTGGAACGGAATTGGATTTTGGAACTGGATCCCCCCCACCCTAAAAAGAATTCGAAAGCATTGAAATGACGATTGGAATTGGGTCTGGAAGTGGATCTGGAACTGGATCTTCTCCCACGCCCCCACCGAAACAAAAACATCTTCACAGCAACTGAAATGAAAATTGAAATTGGATCTGGACTGGATCTCCCCCCACCAAAAATTTACGCCAGCCCCGCATAGACCCCAGATAGCAAACAGATTCTTCCGGCAGCACCAGCAGCACGCTGCAGAGGCACTCTGCAGCAGCAAGGTAGCGACGCCCCAGCGGCACCCAAGCGCGCACAGCAGCGGCGCCCTGCGGCCCCCAAGCCCCCAAGCGCACACAGCAGCGGCACCAGCCCAAGCTCCCAAGGGCGCAGCACAGCAGCGGCATCCTGCAACGGCACCAGCACTCCCAAGCGCACACACACAAGCTCGCAAATGCACACACACGCAGCTCTTCCTATACCTGAAGTATGAACCCCAATAGCTCACGCTATCTGGTACAGTAATAAGAATTTCATGGAAGGACTTGACATGACCACTGGAAGTGGACCTGAATCAGAACTGGAACTGCCCCCCCCACCCCGTGGACAGTGAACGCCACTTTCGAACTGAACTTGAGATTGGAACTGGATCTAGAACTGCTGCCACCACCCCTGAGACAGCTCGCACCACTTTGGAAATGGATCTGGAAATGGATGTCGAACTGGAACTGGAACTGACTGTCGACAAGACATCTTGGGGTGCCACTTGTTTGCCTCTGAAACCACTGTACACTCCCACTCACTAACATGGAAATGGATGTCCTGGCCACTGGGAAGACCTTTTTCCTCTACAAACAGGTGGATCCACAGGATGATCAAAGGCCACGCGGCCAGGCCGAAAGTATGCAAATAGCAAGCTCATGCATCAGTTGGATAACGTTTTCTGCTGCTTGAAAGTGCATCAGTTGGACGGGACGCGTCGTTTTTGTTGAAACCATCGCCAGAGTTGGACCAGGAACAGAATGTGAACTTGTTGCAACCCGGTTTCTTGAGGAACATTCAGATGCACAGCTCCTGCGGCATTGGCTACGCTGGGCCTGTTGCATGGTGACGCCTGAAAATCGAGAAATGTGGGGCTTGCACCTGTCGGCTCGACGCTGGAACAGCAGTATCACGCGGGAGGCCGAGGCCGAAGCCAAGGTGAGCCATGGGAAAGCACCATGTTTTCGGCGGTGGATCGTCGCTGGTTGTGGATTGAAACCATCAAGAACTGCGGCTCAATCTTGCAGAAACAAGATGTTGCACTGTTAACCAACTAATCATCACACCTTTGTACGTGACAATTGTTGAGAAATTATTAAGATATCCCTTCAACCTTCAAGATTGGCGCTCGTTTGTGTGGAAAGTGGGTGGGTCTCACCGCTGGGGTTCCCAGTTCAACGCCCACGATACAGGTGGTGTACGGATGGTGGAGGCGGCCATGCATTTTCTTCCGTTTTGTGATGTCCTACGTTTCCAGCGGTTTGTACAAGGCGCGTCGTTCTGGGCATGCCCAGAAGTTCTATATATGTTCCTTACATGACTTATATTATATAGACGTATCCTGGTGTTTTTTCATATCGTATCCTATATAATAATATACATTGCAACTACGAAGCTATTTGATTTGCTCAAAGAAGACTGCGCCGTGCAAGAATGCCGTACGCCTTTTCCTCTTCATGCTGCGCAACCACCCGTCTAAAGCGTCACGTCCACGGAGTCCACACGCTCTGCAGACATCGTACAACTCGTATGTGGAACTCTTGCACCCGCATGTCTTTCGGATGCAACGATCCACCCCTCTGGATGCAGGTAGAACATATATGCCCACCGGGCAGTGCGCGTTTTGTTCCGCAACGCAGAGTGGAGCCACCGGTCTTCTCTTGGCTCGAACCGCTCGTGCACGAAGAGCGTGGCTGCTTCCCATTGGGGGTATGTCCTCGATGTCGCCGTGCCAAAGGGATGAATCGGGTGGGTATAGGTGAAGTACATGACCCTTATCGTCCATAACCTACCCATTCGGCGAGGGTAGGTTAAGTACTCACTGACGATATGGGCGAGGCCATTATCGTCCATCCTTGGATTCGGAGTCTGCTTCAGCCACCCCCAGTTTGCACCGCGCACGTTTCGGTCCCTGATCGATTCGGTGCTTGAGGCCATCATCGTTTATACCTTACCTTTGTGGCTTTGCAGGGGTGGTATGGTAGACTTCGTTTTGAACGCCTTCGCCCTCGTTTACATCGTGGAGCTGGATGATGTAAAGGACCGGAGGTATGAGTCGTTGACTCAGAAACTTTTCGCCTGGACAAGGAACCCTCTTCTATGATCTTCAGACTGTGTCAGCAAACGACTGACCATCATGAGATTCCCGCAGCCAAATCTGGATGGTTTCCTTCTAATGACCCTGAAGTGAAATGCAAGTGTGTGTGTATATATGGAAAAAAGCAATCCCCCTAATCCCCCCCGAAACATTATCTGGAAGAAGTGATTTATTTTTTGCGACCACTTCAACAGGTATACACTCGGAAACATCATGGAGGTGGAAACCACCGGTTTGCTATAGTCGGAACATGGTCTTCTGAACTCGGGGCCGTGCCATCTGCTTCTATTCGAGCTTGGGGGTGAGTGTAGCCCTTCTTCGTTCAGAGGACGAGCAGAAGGTGCCATGAAAGTTGGAGCGTGAGCCACCCGCTGAGCCTGAGGAGGACCGTGTCGACAAACGAACGAGCTGGACCGTCATAGTCTCCAGTGGACCGGTGAACCTTCAGGGGGGTTCAATTAACTTGTTGATACCAAAAAAAGCAGAATAGCTCTAACAAAAGGAGACTTTGGCTGACACCCCATTTGGTGTTTCCGTGATTCTTGCTTCATCTTGATTCAAAGGGTGTTTTCTTGCCATCCATGTTATGTATCCAGAAGACATCCCTGTCTTCATCTCTTGAGCACATTCGGCACGAAAAAATGTCTTGCACAGGAGCCTGAACATCGGCAGCAGTGTTTCATTCTTTGTTAGTCCAAAGTTGGCATCACCTGAGACATCTTGCTCCGATTCGTCGGAATGAATTCTTTGTCGTCGAAATCCAGTGCTCTTGACCTTTGTGTACCAAAAAAACGGTCCACCTTTTGCCCAATAAAGTCACGAGAGACAGAACAAATGCACCAATCACAGTAGGTCGTAGATCTAGTTTGAGGCGCACGAGGGTATTTGCTTGGAATTTTATTGCCCAAAGTTGGCATCATATGAGGCGAACTTTCGTCGGAATCCAGCGTGGTCGGAATCCAGAGCTCCTTGCTTTGCTTGCTTTGCCACAGACTCCGGGCCACTCCCATCTAAGAAGGCCACCCCAGATGGGCAATACAGAAAAACAAGGAGAAACCCACCAATCACAGTCCGTAGATGTAGAGTGAGGAGTAGCAGGATAGCTGGAGATGTAGTTCCCTGCGCCCAAAGTTGGCAGCATCCGAGGTGAGGCGTCATCCGAACTGACGAAGAACATGTGAGGAGCGTATGGCTCGGAAGATATCCCAACAGAACACTCGCTGAATAGCAGATGGTCCTTGTTGCTTCAAGGGTGACCCTTGACAGCCCCAGTGGCTCCACCCAAGTGGCTTCACCAAAGGTGAAGCCACCCTGCTGCGCCGGCGTTGTGCCTTCCCGCCTGCCACCAGGCGACATGCGGCGTGGACCCAAAAAGAAGACGCGCCTGCGGCACCGGTGGTTGGAGCTTTGATGGACGAAGTTCGGGCACCGCCCGGTGTTTTCGTGGAAAAACGATCATTTGTCGACCACGCACCAAATGTCAAAAGAAAGGTCCTGGTGTGCAGCGGAATTCAGCGTAGCGCAAGTTGCCCAGCCTCACGCACGCGACTCACACATGCCCCAAGACACATGATGTTGATTTATTTTGGGTCTTCGATTCCTATAGTTCGTTTCAGAGACCCTGATCTAGAGGTCATTTGCGGTGTAGATGCTTGCCGCTTGAGGCACGCTTCTCGAAGCGAAGCGAAGCTGCTCTATCTAGCCAAGCGGGTCCTTGAGGCCACCAGGGCGGCTGGGCCCAGTCGGGCACGGCGGCGCGGGTTTGCAGGGTGTAGCGGATGTTGGGGGATCCAATTTGGGATCCAAACACCTCATGACACCTCATGATATAGAGAAGCATTGGCTTCTGATTACACTTTGTGGAATACAAGCAAAGGACAGCCAAAAGCAGGTCAGATCAAAACAATGGAGCGTTGCCATTTGGCAGCAAGAGAAAACCTCCTAAAGATGCAAAGTGTTGGCCATATTTGGCCGTGAAAGTCCCAGAAAACCGGACTGGCCGCTTCGCCAATGCAGGCTTTATGAGGAGAAGGCCTCATGTTCTGGGACCCCGCAAAAACGAGTTTGATCATGGACACCGAAGCCGCAGTGCTTTTGACCTCTCACCGGATGTCGACCAGCAAAAAGGACAGCAAGACAGCTGGGCCCTGGACCAGTCTGGGCCCAGCTGGGGCCCTCAGAGTCTCAAGGAGTGCCAGGAACAAACGAGTCTAGGGAGAACCGATTCCTTGGACTCTTGGAACCTTTTTGACTATATTTCAAACTGTCCCCCATATACCATGGATTTACCATGGTAAAATACCATGTGCAAACCGTTTGATTCATCTGGACTCTAGACACCTGGTAGAGACCCAAATGGCCCTCAAAATGGCCAAACATTCAAAAGGGAAAGAGCCTCGGAACTTACAGGATGATTCTGTGGTACAGGAGCGCACTGGTACCCCTTTGCAGCTACTCATAGAAATGAGTTGCAGACTTGTACATACACAGGATTTTCTTAAGATACATAGCGTATATAGCTTGCGTTACTCTCCCTAGAACTATCGTGGAAGTGGGAAAAGCCCTGTTTGTAAAGGAAAACGGTCTTTCCGGAGGCCATTTTCCACTTCCATGTTAGTCGCAGGGAGAGTATTCTTGTGGTTGAAGCATTTGGGTTAGTGGAATCAATTGAATCCTTACCCGAAAGATCGGGTGTGTCAGTGTGTTTGATTTTCTCCTTTCTCCCTTCAGTTCACCGAATGCAGGCTTCATCTGTGTGATGCTGCAGACCCGAAAAAGGATGAAAAAGGTGTGCCTACCACAGGCCGAATCTATTTGGGGTACATATTATTTGGGGGTGCCGGATTGCGGGAGCCTCGCATCTTTTGCGGCTTTATGGCCTTTTCGCCGGAAAGCGTGGTCCCCATGGCGGAAACAGCAATAACACTTGCCGGTGCCCCACAAAAGGATCACCGAGGCTTGCTGGTAGCTGCTTCAAGAGTCCGTTGTTGGGTGACGATTGCTGGGTGAGGTATTGTTGACGACATTTGACTAATTACATCATATTACATCTAATCACTGTTCTCCTGTGTAATCCGCAGGTGTCAATCAGAACTCATTACACATCACCAAATCTGAAGTCTGTACTAATCTATCGTTGACAGCTGCTAGGTCTGTACCTGGTGTCCTGCTTCTCGGGTTTGTGGAAGCCGCAGTGGCGTTATTTGATGTTATTTGTTGCTCTTGGCTTGGAGAGGTTTTTGCCATGTCTGCTACTGGGCTGGAACCACGAAACTGCTTGGCAGGGTTGCTTGATGCATGTGCCGATGGGGGTTCCCGCTTGACTTTTGGAGGAAGTCTCGTACGAAGTGCTCTTTTGAAGACTTTGACATGTGACTTCTGGAGGAAGTCTGGTACGAAATGCTCGTTTTGCAGACTCGAAGCGTGAGTTTTTGAGGAAGTCTCGTGCGAAATGCTCGTTTTGCAGTCTTGACGTGTGGCCTTTGGAGGAAGTCTCGTACGAAACGCTCGTTTTGGAGATGTGACGGTTGATTTTTGAAGATTTTAGTAGCAGTGCCCCACAAGAGTGTTCTATAGAGTCCTGCAAGAGTGTCCCATAAAAGTGTCCTACGAGAGTATTCCACAAGAGTGCTTTACAATGTCAAAAATTATCTGGGAATTATTTTCGAACACGTATTGGCATTCGGATTCGTGAATCCTATTTAATTCTTTTTAAAATATATTTATCATAATTTGAACATATAGAAAATTAGTATTATATATATTTATTATTGAATATATATATATATATATTTATACTTATCAAATTAACTAATTGTAAATTTATTTCGGCTTTAATTTTGAATTAAGCTTTGGTAATTGAATTAAATATATATTTTTTTTGAATTATATTATAAAATCTGTATTAAGGATATATTTAATTTCGATAATGATAGATATATATTTTTTATTAATTGGTATGAAATTAATTCGGTATGTATTTAGTCTTGGGGCTTGATAATTAATTATTGTTTTGCTAGAAGTTAATAGATTTTTGCCAAATTTTGAATATTTTGTATTAGGGTTGGAATTCTGTGTGGGGGGAAATATCGTGCTTGCCTAATATAATGTAGAACTAGCTAATTAAATATATTATATAATTTATTTTCTATATAAGGAATATAAAAATATTATTTCTTGTAATATTTTGCTAAATAATTTTAAATGTTGAAGAAATTTATTATATTAATGCTTTAATTCTTTGATGCATGATCGCATTTCGAAGATTACGTATTAATTTCCAAATCTTTTAGCCGAACGATTTTTTCGTCCATGATTAAATCGGACCGGTGGATCCTAATCGCGGTTAAAGGCCTCTAGCGCATGCGGAGGTTCTTCGCACAATACATATTCGGCGATATTTTTCATTACCATTTTCTCGCGATGAAGGGGTCAAGAAAATTGCCGATATCCTGATATTGGAAGAAATCGTATAAATTCAAATGGTGCTAAATATGTCGATCGCAAATCGACATTTTGAATATCACCGGAACATATGATTTCCTTCCAAAAAGCATTGAATATACAAGGAACATGATAAAAATGGCTACTATAAAATTTTACCTCCAAAAAAGGACATATGCTACGAAGAGATGAAAATTTGAGGTAATATATTGAACACCGTTAATATTATTAGAATACAAACAATATTATTTATAAATTACATATATATTGCAAAAATATTGTAATTTGCAATATGTTCTGCTTAATCGTGCGCCAAAGAATTGCTTCTTTCGTGCCGAGATTCTATTGAAATTGAAAATTTATCATCTAAATTTATATCCATGTGCAAGAATTTTTCTATTTTCCAAGTGGTTTCGAAGATCAATTTCCTCAATCTTGGAGGTTTTATGCGAATCCATATGAGCCCGGTTGATACTAAAATTGCGGATCGAAGGCATCGCGTGCGTTTCCATATAACAAACTATATTTGATATGGTCATTGGCACGACATCGCCGGATTGAAGGGCTTACGCCCGTTAGCCAGCCAGGGGCCCAACCAAAAGGGAGGGGGAAGGAAAAGACAGATAAATTATTATCGGTTATTGTTGTGGTAGGACAGGGGACGCCACAAAATCCAACATAAAAGATATTGACAGCGCGGTCCGCCTCGACCAACATATTTGGCACCACGGACGCCATATTGGAGCCACAAAAGCGGACATATTGCAGCAATCAAAAAATACTGTAAAATGCGCCGTATCAGAGGGGTCGACGGGTGGGGCGGGCAGAAATACCTCTCTCCTCACACGGAATGGATACGGCCAAGGCACCCCTGTCCGCCGACCGAAGAAATTGGGAAGAATATTATTGATATAATTTGGATTTGAATGGATGAATATATAAAAATGGGGATTACCACCACGGCATTCATACAACCATTATCAAGGCCCCGTGGTGCGAGATATATTACCCGAATGATCTTATAATACCGATATTTCATTTTTTTGAATATATAATTCCTATTCAAATAAAGAATTTCATTACATAATAATTACAACCACAAAAAAGAACAAAATAACAACAACAATACCTACTGCGACAACTGCTCCAACTAAACAATTATCATAATAATAATCAAAATGCCAACAACAATGTATAAATTACAATAGTACATCTATATAACCTCCAATAATAAATCTATTAGCCCCTTGATAGACATCAATTACTTAATTTCGGTCAAAATTGCAAAAACCTCCAATTAGCCGTGCCATCCCGAAATAAATTTTCCTTAAGAAACAATATTCATCCCCCAGCCGAATTAAAAAAATTATCCATTAAAAAAATGTATAATATATATATATATATTCAAAAAAATAAAATTGCCGATGTCCTGATATTGGAAGAAACCATATAAGCCCAGGTGGTGCTAGATATATAGGCCGCAAACAGATATTTTGGATATCATCGGAATATACGATTTCCCGCAAAAAAATATCAAATTCACAGGGAAAATGAAAAAAACAACTACTATAAAATTTTACCTCCAGAGAAGGACATATGCTACGAAAACAGGAAAATTTGAGGTAACATCTATATTAAACACCATTGATATCACCAGAATACAAGCAATATTATTCATAAATTACATATATATTGCGAAAATATTGTAATTTACAATGTGTTCTGGTTAATCGTACGCCAAAGAAATTTTTCTTTCTTGCCGAGATTCAATTGATGTTGAAAATTGTCGATGTCCTGATATTGGAAGAAATCATATAAATCCAGGTGGTGCTAGATATGTCGGCCGCAAACCGACATTTTGGACATCACCAGAACATACGATTTCCTTCAAAAAAAATTAAACACACAAGGAACATTATAAAAATTACTACTATAAAACTTTACCTCCAGAGAAAGACATATGCTACGAAGAGAGGAACATTTGAGGTAACATTTGTATTGAACACCATTGATATCACCAGAATATAAACAATATTATTCATAAATTACATACATATTGCAAAAATATTGTAATTTACAATATGTTCTGCTTAATCGTGCGCCAAAGAATTGCTTCTTTCTTGCCGAGATTCTATTAATATTGAAAATTTATCATCTAAATTTATATCCATTTGCAAGATATTTCTTCATCAATAATTATGTTTTATCAATTTCTTCAATCTTTGAGGTTGTATGCCGAATCCATATGAGCCGGCTAATATTAAAATTGCGGATCGGAGGCATCCCGTGTGTTTCCATATAACAAACTATATTTAATATGGTCATTGGCACGACATCGCCGGATTCAAGGGCTTACGTCCGATAGGCAGCTAGGGGCCCAACCAAAGGGGAGGGAGAAGGAAAAGATAGAGAAATTATTGTCGGTTATTGTTGTGGTAGGACAGGGGACGCCATAAAATCCAACAAAAAGAATATTAATAGCGCGGTCCGCCTCGACCAACATATCTCGCACCACGGACGCCATATTGGAGCAACAAAAGCGGACATATTGCGTGTAAAACGCGACGCGTCAGAGGGGTCGACGGGTGGGGCGGGCGGAAAGATCTCTTTCCTCACACGGAACGGACACGGCCAAGGCACCCCTGTCCGCCAACCGAATAAATTGGGAAGAATATTATTGATATAATTTATATTTGAATGGATGAATATATAAAAATGGGGATTACCACCACGGCATTCATCCAACCATTATCAAGGCCCCGTGGTGCGAGATATATTACCCGAATGATCTTATAATACCGATATTTCATTTTTTTGAATATATAATTCCTATTCAAATAAAGAATTTCATTACATAATAATTACAATCACAAAAAAGAACAAAATAACAACAACAATACCTACTGCGACAACTACTCCAACTAAATAATTATCATAATAATAACCAAAATGCCAATAATAACAATATATAAATTACACTAATAAATCTATATAACCTCCAATAATAAATTTATTAGTCCATTAATAAATATAAATTCCTTAATTTATCCCGAAATAATTTTTCCTTAAGAAACAATATTCATCCCCCAGCCGAAAAACAAATAATATCCATTAAAAAAATATATATATTAAGGTATATATTCAATAAAATACAATTGCCGATATCCTAATATTGGAAGACACCATATAAATCCAGGTGGTGCTAGATATGTCGACCACAAACCGATATTTTAAATATCATCGGAACATACGATTTCCTTCAAAAAAAATATATTCACAGGGAAAATTAAAAAATGGCTACTATAAAATTTTACCTCCAAAGAAGGATATATACTACGAAAAAAAGAACATTTGAAGTAATATTTATATTAAATATCATTCATAATATTGTAATTTATAATATGTTCTGCTTAATCGTACGCCAAAAAATGATTTCTTTCTTGCCGAGATTATATTAATTTAAGGCCGAAAGTAGGTGACGAAAACTAACAGAAGTGCATCCGGACTAGTTACTTTTATTCAATCCCTCATTATATATGCATAACGATCCAACAATTAAATCAAACCAAACGTATCAAATACATCTAGTTTATATATGTTTATTTAAACATCTTTGTCGAGTAAAGTGTCAACCATATACATTGAGATGCCGAAGGAAATTCAAAGGCACATATATTTAATATAATTTCTAATTTCCCATAATATTCATCATTAAAACCTTAAACCCTTAAATATAACACTATAACACGTACCGGAAGCGTCCCAGGGGGGAGTTAAACCCGCGGGAGGCCCAAAAGTGAAATTTTCACGTAATTTATAATTTTCGAGGCTACGAGCCCTTAATTTGCTAAAGCAAAAATAACTCCAACTAACTAAAGCTAACTTTCGTAATATTTAAAATATATTTTTAAATCTATATCCGATCTTATATCGAATTCATATAAATCCGTCGGAAGTGTCGCGTATATTTCCATCGAACGCTATTTATAAATTAATGCTTCGCACGACATCGACCAATTGCAAGATTTACGATCGTTAACCAACCAACAATCCGAACCAAATAATTAAAATAAATATATAAAAACTATATATATAAATAATCATCATATTATCCAAATAATCATCGTTAAAATTCCATAATACGACAATTATAAAAATTACCAATAATAATTATATATAATACCCAATAATAAAAAATTTCTTAATAAATATCAATTCCTTAATTTCGATTAACACTTCAAAAATCTCCAACCTCCAATTAACCATACCATCCAATATATATTTTTTTTTAATTATATATACATATAAATCCAACATATATCAATAAAAATCAATATTTATATCATAAATTCAACAATTAAATCATTATATTAATTCCAATAAATATATATATAATCAATATCCATATAATCAATTTCCCTAAAATTATTAATTATCGTATAAATCAAAAATCAATTCCTATTAATCATAAATAAATAGATTATTTAAATATATTATATAAATATATCATTGTTTAAATTAATTAAATATCAATAAAACATATATTCTATATATAGATTAATATATTGTTATAACATAATATATATATATTTTTATCTATATTTATCTATCTATATTATATATATATATTATTGTTAATTTTTCTTTTCAAATCGGATACCTGGCAATCCCCATGAAACAAATAATATACATAATAAATTGATTAATATATTTAAACAATTTCTGTCTTTCATGGATATCTAGTGTTCGTATTGGTCTCTATATGGGGTGTTACAAGACCTCTGTGAGAAAAAAGATCCTGACCATACAGTATAGCCTTTGGCAAGGCTTCTCACTGTTGGAGGGCAGGTCGAGCAACCAGAAACCGTGTGTTTTTGATTAGCATAAAAAACCTCAGCACATTTGGTCTTGGAATGCATCACACACTCCCAAAGTCGTTCTCCCAAAAACATGCACTCGCGCACTCAACTGGACCATACTTCAACCGCGGCATCTTCTGCACATAGTCGCCGCCTGACAAGAAATGATCATGCTAAGTAATGTGATCTGGGCAGCTGAACCACCGCATTGCCCACTTTCAAAGAACATAAGCACATACTGCATAGGCAGTGAGTGCTCAGTTCTCGCTCTCACGGCAAGGGAATGAACAAGCACCTTATCGCTGGGCCCCCAAACCGTCAACTTGCTCCAGGAGCCACAGGGCCAAGTCAGCATACCTTCCACAACCCAGACCCACCAGCAAGTGAGGCGCGCTTCTCAAGGCTGAACCATGAGCTCAGCACCGCTCCAACAACAAACACCCACCACGTGGCAAGACTGAAAGTCCTCCATTGACAAACAGGGCCTGATCGAGCTCTGAGTGAAGGTGTCCAAGTTGGGCACCAAAGCTCCTCGAGCTTCGCCCTCCTTGCAGGCCGCAAATGGCTGCAGGATGAGCTTCGTGCGAAGCGTGGGAAAGTCAGGCGGTCTCGCAGCTTAAAAATACCAAACAGGAGCATCTGAATACGACTTCCTTGACATTCCTTTTTGCGCACCGGATCACCACAAGAAGCTCTTTCAAACACCTCTTAGTCTTCCTTCCCACAGCCTCCCAGCCATGCTTTTTAGCCTTACGGCATCTCCTCCAGCCACACGGGCCGTGCAACAACCTCATTTTGGCAGGGACAGGCAGGTTCTTGATGGCCAAGCCGTTCAAACTGTTCCCCGAAATCATGCGCGCGTGCCCAGTAGAGCGCACCTTGCTCAGCAATTACATGAGCATTGTTCCAAACCCATTTCGACATGTTTTAGTACGTTTTAAGAAAGCATCGTTTTTGTTTTGACTGAGCTCTCACTGCAGCTGCAGTTCGTGAATTTCTGCACCGAAGTCGATCAGACACCAAGACCAAAGCGGACTACTAGAGAATAATTGACAGAAGTTCAGGTTTACGTGCTCACATCTTGAGAAGACTTGCGAAAAGGTAGTAACAAGAAGCTACTAGGGGCTCCTGGCATCCCTACTAGGAGCAAGGACGCTACTAGGGGCTCTTGGCCGTACTACTAGGAGCATGGACGCTACTAAGAGCATTCTTGCAGCTCCCATGCGCCAAGTTGAGCTTCATTGGCATCGTGGCTGGGTTCACTGCGGGTTTGCTGGGCCTGCTGGTGGGCGCCGGTTACATTCGTGGCATTTGCCCAGAGCCCTTAAGTGGTGCAGATTGCATAATGGGCCTCCTTTGGTGGGATGCCCCTTTGCCGTGCTGAGGGGTTTAGATATCGAATGCTGAACGGATTTTGCTTGCTCTTCCTGGTCAATCTGAATCAATCTGATCAATCTTTAACCTCGAGTCTTCGGCACTCGCAGGCTTGGACTGGTCGGTGGAGCTTGCTGCATGCGTTAGTCAAACAATTTTGGCAAGTTACGAGCGAGACAGTACTGCACAGGGAACGCAACCTCTATGCACCCCTTTGTCGACAGCGGGCGCGCTTCTGCAAACGCTCACTTTGGAGAATTCCAAGCGACCCACCTTTGTTTCTAACCTCTACGGCCGCCTTCCGGGTGCAGCTACCTCATGACCTGTAAACTATAGTCCGGTCCAGTGGAGCCCATGCACGTCTACTTTGTCGGAATGCGCTGAAGGGTGGGTTGGTCGAAAAGAAGCCCCTGGAGAATGGTTGCGATTGGGCTATATTTGACTCTAGACTCTGCACCTGCACTGTGGCGTGTGTGGGCTGAGAAGTGGGGATCCTTTAATAAGTGATTCTATGTTTTTTTGTCACCAAACTCCAAAGATGAATCCTCAGGTTTCGACTCTGAACAGAAGAGAAGGACGCACATCATCGAACATGTATGATTTGCAGTTGAAATGCATTAAACATCATTAAAGCAATAAAGAGCAACAATTCAGTGCAGTGAGCTTTGTTTTTGGCTCCTGCTCCACATCTGAAGCTGGTACAAAACTTTCGGTGATGCAAGTGATGTCAATTTTTACAATAAGCACTGCAAGCATCACACTCACTGTAATACTAACACGTGAACTTGGGTGACTCAATCTATACTTTTAGATAATGGAGAGTTGGAAAAGCTCTAATCACAAACGTCTAAACGTGTGCTCATCTGCGACCAGGCCACCCATTTCACATCCTTTGCCTCATTGTACAAGTACCTACGAAGACTCTCCTGGGGCAACAGTGTGGGATACGGGACATCGAGAGGACAAGAAACGCCACCCATGCCTGGCCATGAAATGAGACCTGAAGTAAATAGAACTAACTCACCTGTTGGAGCAGTAACTCGTCGAAATCTGAAAACGGCTGGATCACTTCATGACCGCCTCCGCGTCATCGATGGCCTTGGAGCTGTTTTGCCACCTGAGAAGAAGCAAGCTAAACGAGCAGAAAAGCTGAGGACCATCGATACTTAAGAAAATCCATGAAAATCCTACTCATGAAGATGATGAAGAAGATCCAATTGAAGACTGGAGTTCTGATCATCTAGCATTAGGGCCAACACAGCGCCGTCCCGGTGTGGAATAATCGTCTTCGAAGGCTCCAAAGACGCAAATGGATTCACCCACCTGACAACATCCTGTGTCGGCAAAGAATGGCAAAGAGTCTTTACAGTTTCTGCAATGCTGTGATTCCTCACAACGAAAAACACATCTAAAACGAGCAATACTTCTGGGACATCTTGCAGGTTTTATTGTGTGGACCTGTGATGTTGTTATCCATCTTCCTTTTGGATGTTCAGGAGCCCTTCCTGACTCAAGGTCAGGAAACGATTTCATCTTAAACACCACACCAGAACTGCCGGAGATTGGCCCTGTGACCACAAATCTCTTGTTTGCAAGAGGCCCATTCGAGACATTTGATCCAACTACACCATCTCATCATCTATGGACCTACTTCACCAAACCTGACACCAATCAATACCGTCTTGGACGACCTTCACTGGGGCTCACTTTCGTTTCTCTTTGGGTGCCGGGGGGCGGTTTGTTTTTCTGAGCTCACCTCGCTCCAGCGCCCGCCGTCTCCCCCTCTTCGCCTCACCACCGCGCGCGCCAAGCGTGCGGGAGTGAGGAGTCCCCACCTCTGGACCGCGGAAGGCGCACCGGGCGAGTCGACCGTGCGGGGGTGCGTGGTTGATGTGGAGTCGACCGAGATGATCAGGCAAACTGGGCGAAGGTGTTCTTCACAAGTCTGGTCAAGATGCCTGGTCTTCGAGTGCTAGTGTTCATGCAGCTCTAAGTGCCTCTGACTCTAATATAGAGAATAATATGGATGTTGCGGGGTGCAGAAAAATCATAGAGTGCATCAAACAAATGTTCGACTGGAGTCACTTCAGGGTGCAAGAAACAAACAAAAGTGGACACGCTCCAAGTCGCACGTGCCTAGGTTTTTGTCCCCGAAGAATGGAATCCTCCTTCCCCTCACTTCCCCGCCCCTGGGGGCCGTGTGGCACCGACGGGATCGGGGCTCCCTGCCATTCCCCCGGCGCTGAAGCTAAGGCACAGCCCTGGAGGATGTGAGGCACTTCTGGTGCTTCTTTTTGAAGTTGCTAGGCTTGGGTCATCTTGGGTCGACGTTGATCGAAATTCTTTTCCTGGAGTGGAACGAGACGCGTCTGGGAGAGGTCGTTCCGATGTCCGACAAAGCACAAGGCTCCAATCCATCGAACATTTGGCATTCAGCGCATCCAAACGCAAGTCCCTGAAGCTAAAAGCCACACAGAAACAAGCCTGTGAAAGACATGTTCAAAAACCGTCAAAACCCCACTCCCACACAGTCCCACACACCCAATTTAGTACCTCCCCCAAGAAGAGCCCTCAACCATTCCACCAGCCCACCTGCACGATGAGGCGCTCAATTTGGCACTTCCGGCAGGCCTCCACCTACCACGAGACCAGCAAACCACGAGAACACTTTGGAGATCCAAACAACGGAAGCAAGAACAGTGGAAGAGGACTGCCCACCTGACCTGAAGAGAGTTCTGGATGTCAGTCAAACAGTTTTCGTGTCCCCTGCTTCAAATAGTGGGGGAGAGAACCATTTTTGATGTCTTGGAGCAGCCGACTTCGGGACTGGAGATGGGACGCCCAGCGACGATGTGGTTGTCTACCCTGGTTGTCTACGCTGATGTGGTGTGCATAGACTGATGAGGTGACACCCGCCATGAGAGGTCCAAATCCTATGTCTCTAGCAGCTAGGTAGTATATGTACATGTCATTGCTGTGCCAGAATGCTTCTCTCAAAAAGCCAACATGTTGGTGGTGTGACATTTGGCATCACCCCAAACCGGAAAGATTACCCTCCCCGCACGTGTGGCTTCCGAATCTCCATATTGGTGCTTGAAACACTTTAATGTCTTGTTTGAGGGGTTCTCCTGCAATTCACTTTTCCTTCAGTCTTCAGTCATCCCTGCACCGCTGTCAGGCTCGCCGCATCGCGCGCACTGGGACTCACGCACCAGGATCTGAATGGCAGGTGCCAAAGGCCCAGGCCTTACGGCACCGAAGGACCCCCTCCAAAATCCACCCGGGCGTGCAGTAAACACCTGCAACCAGCAAAACCATTTATGCAATTTCAATCAATTTCAACGAATTCCAGTGGTAAGGACCATCAAGGACTGCAAAAACAAACCTCTGATCTGCAACTTGCTTGATATTTGAAGTGGTCTTGGGTGCTTCTTGTGATCAATGACCTGTATATATATATATATAGATGACACTATAGATGACCCAAAGAGGAACAAACGGATCAAACGCCCAAGAGACCCTCCCTCCGCCTCCCTCCGCCTCCGTCCCAAGTGGCGCGGTCTCAGGTCGAGGGCCCACGGTGCAAATCACGGCCTCCGTCGGTCCGTCTCGGGGACGACTCCGGTGCGTCGCGTGAGTCGCGTGACGCGTTGTTCGGGGCAGCTTTTGAAAGACATGGCATGTACAGTGTACAGTACACTGCAGCAGTACAAACAGTACAGTATGTGTTTTTGTTGTACAGTAGAACCTGGAGAAACATCGAAACACTGACTTTAACTCTAACTCATTTTCCTTAAACGTGTGTTGCTCCCTTTGTGAATGTCGCCAGCCAAGAAAATAGTTGAGTACAACATGTTGTGGAACCCCGCTATGCCATGGATGGAGCAAGAAAACATATCACTGAAACTGTGTTTCATCTGTTGCTTCTTCTTGCTTCACTCGAGGAGCATGCAAACTTGTGCATGTGCTTAACGCAAACAGTGACTTCTTTCTACCGTAGCGCCGTAGTTTGTTTGCAAGCTGCTTCTATCTTCTTCTACAACTTCACCTCCAAACCCAGCCCTAGGCCCCCCAGGCCCTAGGCAGTCAGTCCACCTCCTGGCAACATACATCTTCCCCCCACCTGCGCGCCCTGCATAGCGCTCAACAGCGCTGTCAAGTCCGAGATCTCTCCCAGGGCGACCTGGACAGCCCGTGCTGAACGGCACATCGCCAGGTGTGGGGGGTTGAGGACCCGAAGGTGCATCGTTCAGAGCTTGTTTGTGCTTTCATTCTTGAAGTCGTGACTTGGTTGGTTGCCTGGGGACTTGATGGCGTGCTGAAGCTGAAAACATCTGAATACTGGAGCCCTCTGAGACGGTCTTCCTCAAAAGGCGGCATCTTTCCTTCTCGGCTTCGGACGGCTGGCTGAGAGAAATCCAACCCCGTCTCCCCCCCCCCTCAGACCCCAGCGAACGAGTCTCGTAAGGAACACATCCAAACCATCCATGCGACTGGAAGAGTTAAGTTACATATCCTCCTGTGAATTCCACCTGACCCCCAAGGGTGGTCATTTTATAGATATAAAACGGTGCCCCCAGGGTTCTGGCACTATAAAATCTGGGCACCCAAGATAGAGAAGAAGGGCTGCAGAATATAGAATCACACATCCCATGCTTAAAATCTGGACTACTATAGAATCACCTGCCAAAATGGTCCTCTATAGATTCACGCACCCTATTGGAAATATCAGGTCGATATAGTTGCTAACATGGAGTAGGTGGCCTCATTCTTTAGTAACATGCCAGGGTTCCCACATGAACATGAACCTCCCCCACACACATCCACAAACCCCAAACACATCCACAGCCACAACACACAACACATGATTTCACACAATGGCTCTCCTTCCTAACAGCAACACACCATATGAGTCAGGTGTTAATGGGTTCTTGAAGGCCTCCCTCCCAGTCAACCCCCTGGAAACCTCCAAATTATCTTCTATAGAATCAGGGCCTTTCATTTATATAGGCTCAATACATCTACTTCTGATATTGTGTGCGCTGCCCTGGAACTCCACAACTGAATTCAATCATCAAAAAGCACATGCCTCAAAGCAAAAAGCCACTCTGTAGAATCACATACCATGGCACACCAGATCATTCACCTCCTTCCCCAAAAACATATTTGTTGACTTCCGCGGGCCATGTTTGGTTGAAGTCCTCTTCCCCGGCGCTAAAGTGCTCCTAGGTTAGACAAACCTCCTTAAAAAGTAAAGAGGCATTTGTTATTGTCAACAAGGTTCAAGAAGATAAAACTTCAGCGATAGTGAATTTTACCATACACTTACGCGGTGGCTTCCGCAAGCTTCCACGACTGCAGTTTTGGCTTCTGCTGGCAAGTTGGAGTTTACAAGTGTGCTTAAACTGTTTGTGGGAGGTTTTTGACGCTGCTCACATCCATCCAAGCTTCTCTATGAAATGAAGACTTCTCTATAAAATGGTTTCTCTATAGTTACACTACCCAGGGTCACATACTTCGAGTATAAGAAGCATCATCAAAATCCTTGCCTCTATAAAATCCATGCACCCGGGGTTCATCTTGCCCTCAAACAGGGTCTGCTATAAAATGACCCACCCCGAGGTGGGTCATTTTATAGAGAACCACGGAATTTTTCCTCTATAGAATACCCTCTATAGAATGCACCAAAATGACCCCAGGGTACCATGGTTTATAGAGGAAATTCGCTGGACTATAGTTACATACACTTAGCCCCTTGACATCTGCCCAGGAATTTGTATACCTATCTTCCTATATCGTCCAAATTTCCCTCATGGTGAGGAACCCTCACCCCTTCCACGCCTCCAGTGATGCATGGCCCATCAAATGGCCCAACCTGTTTCGAGGCGGGTGTCGGAGTTGGAAAATGTTGGAAATGGACGCCGCCGGAGATGTGGGACGTCCCCATGTAAGCCAAAGACGCCATGCAACGGAACATAGATGCCCCCATTGATCCCTGAAATCAACCACCCCCAAGAAGTAGAAACATATTAGCCATACATGGAGTGATATAGTCGTTCAGAGTGAGATAAGTCTCTCTCTCTCTATGTTTCCTGGGGCGCCGCGCTCTCGGTTCAGCCGCTGCTGGTCCCTGGTCCAAGCGGAAAGGACCGGAGAGGGGAGTCCAGTGCTGGGTCCAAAACTTCGGCTGGGTCTGGGTGGTAATTAAGAAGTACCTGATCAACTTCGGTGAAGTGTTGTCCAAGAACATGGACCTCTCTGAGCTCCTCGTTTTTACTTACAACGTGACCTAAAAGAAAGAGGTGATTTGCCTTGGGCCGCTGTGTTTCGCACGCGCCTGGCGAATGCCACGACGTGATAGTTCCGCTCCAGGGCGGCCTGGTGATCGGCACGGTGGGACCCCTGAGCTGTGCATCCGGTGAATGACCTGACCGTCGCCCGTCCGTGGAGGGTTGACCGAGAAAGAAAGGATTTGATTCCATGCACTTCTGCACTTGGTCAGTGCATCTGATGGGATCCTAATGGATTCCCAGCACCTTGAAGAAGCCTTGAAGGAGATGCCCCACTATGGCTACCACATCACGTCGATCAGTCACCGAATCAACTACGCCACCCAACGCCAACACCGGTGCCTCGACCACGGCAACGCCGGAGCCTCGACAGGATCCGCCCAAGCATCCCAGGACGTCAGTGGTGATGACCAAGTGGAGCTACATGCACTCGCTGTCCACGATACTTATCAAATTCATCATCAACCCTTCTATCGGTAAGGCCAGACCAGGTGTCTGGTGTTTCTTTTCACCAACACGTGGGCGGCGGACACGGACCGCGGACCATCTTGCTTCGAAAGTCCCTTCCAGTCCGACAGGTTCAACCGGGGGAAAACACCAAACACATTGGGATCAGGTGAGGTGAAGGACCGGGTCAGGTGAAGGACCAGGTGAGGTGAAGGACCAAAAACATCAGCTTCGGTGACTGAAAAACATCTTGATCCCATGATGGTCCCGGCAGACCCCCCGGAGAACGCGCCAAAGAGCGCTGAGTCGAATCGTCATGAGTCATGAACCGTCCAACATCCGAAGAAGAGGGTCGTGCTTCAAAATTGCCATGCTCCATTCTGGGCAAACAAAGCAACAAGTCAACAAATAAAAACATGTTTAAATTACACAAAAGAACATGGAAGAACATGCTGGTTCAATCTTCCTACCATTAATAGAACACTACAGTAGACCACTGCTTTGCGCATCGCCGCAACTGGCTTTCCAGGGATCAGTATGGATCCGTGGTATGGGATCCGTGAGGTCAGAGAGAGAGAGAGAGGGCACCTCACGAAAACCCTTCCATTCCATTTCTCTCCCATCCATTGCCACCCACTCACCTCCAGAAGCGCCCAAAACCACCAAGCGCCTCACCGGCGCTTTGGTTTCGGATTTGGCTCTGAATCCAGCTCAGCCAGAACTCCGATTTTTTGCAGGAAAAGGCGAGGTCGGACTGGCCATGGTGTGTTTTTTCAAGAAGTTCCAGTTCGGTTCAAACAACAAAGCGACACCCGCACCCAAACACACTGTATACACGTGCATCTGTTTCAAAGATTAAATGTATACTGTACATCTGAAAAAGGTCCAACATGATCCAATTTTGCTGCTTGTCCCCTTGCCCCAGAGCGGAGGATGCAAGATGTTTCCAAAGAGGGAGTCACCTGAGAACCGCGCCCGAACACCAGCAGAGATGTTTGGGAGCCACTTTCTTTGATCGCTTCATCTGCTCGCCCTCATCCGTCCAATCCATGGCCCAGGTTCACAACAAACATCAACAAACCAACCCCAGCTTCTTCAAAGTGACCTTCTTGGCAATGCCAAGAAGAGAAGCCTTTTGCAGCTCTGAAAGGTCACCTTGAAGAACCAACCTGTGATCCTCCTGCGATTCTCGGGTCTCCGCAAGGCCTGGTCGTCGTCCCCTCGGCCTTAGGGTTAGGGTTTGGCCCGCAAGGGGCCCCCAAAGGAAACAGCCCCGTCAAGACCAGCGAACCAAGACCAGCCCCGTGGCGTTTTCTTTTGTGGTTGATGATTGCCCAAAACATGTGGTTTGCGATCAGGGCCAAGCAAGATTTGAGGGGAAGTTCCGATAGACACGTGTCAACCTTGTTTAAAAGGATGATTCATGTCCATGTATCTGGCAAGGTAAGCACTGTTGCTACTCCTTGACTTGTATCAAGTTCGTGCTCTTCCAAGAACAAGTCGTGCTTCTCAGTGATTGATAGCAAGAGACCTGCTGTTGTTGGCCTTTTAGGGCCAATCCACGTCTATTTGACCCAGTCCCTCAAGCGGTCGGGTCAAAATGTGGGTGATCTCAGTGGCATCAAAGGTCTTAAATCAAACAAGCCATGATCCATAGATGCTCCATAGATGCTGGCAGCCTGTGGTAGACGCATTGGCCCTGAACCGTTCTTTCCAAGTGTTTGGCCCTTCAGAGTTCCAACCAAGTGAGCTGAGCTCCCGATGAAATGCCCCCCACCAAATGCAGGAAAACAACTGATCATTCCAACGCCACAGCCTCCACAGCCGGTTCGGACGCCAGGTGAAGGGTCTAGCCGACAGCTCGGCACCGTCACTCCCTTACTCCCTGAGACCAGCTATTTCGCCGATGTCAGCACCGTTCAATCAACCAGTGCGAGTCATCTCCACTGGATGAAGATGAAACAAACTGTAGGTCCGTCTCCGCACCCTCCCAGGTCCTGGTTTCACCAACCCAGTTGTTTTGAACCCTGAAAAGCGAGCGACGAACCGCTGCTCAGTGCATCGAAACCAAGAACTATCGCGGCGAACTGCGATGTTCTGGGCAATGAGCACGTGTGGTTGCTCGTCGCATGGGCCAATTGAGTGGAATTGACGTAGAGGGAACCGGTGAAGGGCCCGGGCTTATATAAAAGGCTTCTATCTGACTGTGAGCAGCCACGATCAGGAACCTATCAACTCGGTCTTGAGGATAGACCCCTTTGCTGGGTACAAGGCTTCAAGAGGTGCAAGCACCTAAAGAACTGTGGAGAAATCCAAGCCTGGAAGTGCTACTTACCCGAGCCCCAGCCCTCTTCATCCCTCTTCCGCATTCTTTCTCACACAGAGTAAAACACCATGCAAACCTCGGGTGAAACCAAAGTTTCTCAGCGAATCCTTCGGGAAAGGCACGGAAGGCATGTGAGTTTGCCACCGGTGATGCAAGGAACACTCAAAGCAGCTTTTCCAGGGCCATTTCACCCGTTGTGTTCAGAAACATCTCAGTTCATACCACTATTCATGCCGTCTAGCACAACTCAGTAAATAGTAAACACCCATCACCCACAACCACTTCAAGAACGGAAACCTTCTGCATTCACAATTTCCCCATCTATGCCCAACAAATGAACACCAAGTCCCAACAAATGAACACCAATGGATCATGCACATTCAATGGGGACCCTTTCAACTTTTGTTGTGTTTGCCGACTCCCCGAAGCTCGTGTTGCACATGTGGCTTCGTGTCGTAGCACCGCCTAAGGCGACTTGCCCGGCCACACGACATAGCGACACCAGCAGCGACAGCGGAGGACTCACCGAGCGTATTGATCATGCACCTTGGGCAGTATTCCGATATTTGGAGAATTCTCCGGTCCAAAAGTTCACGGTTTCTCTATGTTTCTCTCCTCCCCTCCCTGTATTTGGGTCAAACCCCTCATCTGCCAGTCAGGTTGATTCGGGTGCTCCAAATGTCCCTTCTGTTACAATAACTACAGCGAAATCATGCTATTATCATGGCTATGCCAGTCAGTCATCCAGATCCAACCCTTCAGCAGCTATATCAATATGATTCCATCTCTTCTCCGGTTTGCGCGGATGGGGCGCTTCAAGTGGCGTCGGCCGTGCTTCCTCGCTCAGGCCACTCCAGCGATGATGGTCCGGCACCGCACGCACAAAGCGGAATCCATGCCACCTGTGGCGGGAGAAGACCGCGTGGACTCACCGCAGGTCTGACCACCCAAGGCGTTTTAACAAGTAGCTTTATCCATCGGGGTTGGATGTGAGTGGGAGGAGGCACCCCATTCCCCCCATCCCAAGAACTGGCAGGTGAGCCACTTGAAAGTCTGCTAGGAGAGTGTCTGGAGTCTAAGTGTCCAGTCATTGGTTGTTTAATGTTGTATATATCAGGATATTTGAGATACCTTTTGGGGGGGGGCGATTCTGTACCCTGCAACCCCCCATCCCGCCGAACTCCTCAAAGCCAAGGGGCCCTTCTTCGCTTTCAACCTGACTGCGTCACAGGTGCATCATGGTGGTTGGGTTTGTGAAGGCAACCAATTCGGGAACTTTTCTTCATGACCGTTCCAGAGTTGGTCGCGGAACACTCAAAAAGGTCACTCTAGGGATTGAAAGAAGTTCACTTTGAAGAAGGCAGCGGAAAGGTGATGGGTCGTGCTTTTTGAGGGATGAGCCTTGGTGCCAGGCACCTGATTTCTTTTCCTCGTAGTTTTGTCACAGCTGCGGCTGTTTTTCTCAGGTCCAAGCCCCAAAGCAATGGAGCGAAACCAATCCATGGCAGCTGTTAGACACCCTGTTAGACACCCGCGGTGTCCAAACCCTCCGGCCGTCCAAGGAGCCATTTGGCATCCAAAAAGGACTTGTGGCTGCATTCCTTAGTGCAACGCGTTTTTTTTGGAACGTGTCACGGTCGCCCTAAAACGAAGCCCTTCAACCTATCTAACACGTGTGAGAAGAACCGTTGCCGTCGCACTGCCAAGTGTTTGGTGGTGGTGGTGCGGCGGCGGCTGCTGAGGTGAGCACAATGAACCAACAGCAGCAATGAACCAATGCCACAACAACTGGGCCTTCTAGTCCTTATCCCCGCTTTCCGCGCGCATCTAATTTTCAGGACCGAGCGGCTCCACAGACCTCAAAGCAACAGCCGTGACTCGAACGGAGGACCAAGGCTTGGGTGGAAGAAGCATGCGCAAGGGTTGGGGCTTGGGGCGTGGATTTGGTGGATCTCAGGGCCTCTCAAACTCCAAATCTCTCCAAACCAACTGCCCAGAATCAAAGCGATCAGCTGATGAATGAGGTTTCGATATGCTTAAAATGTCTCCCTGGATCTCCCTGGTGAACCTTTGCGATTTCTCCTGCGAAAACGCTCCCCAAACAAAACATCCATTGACCTCCGTCCCGCCCTCGACGACCTCTCCGACCTCTCCGTCGGCCCCCGTGTCCCCGCCAGGTGGCCACTTCCACGATGTCCGGTGGCTGGAACTTGTCTTGCCAAAAGAAACGAAACCTCGGGTCCGACTCGTCGGTCTGACGTCTTCCACCGAGTCCATCGATGGGTCGAGTCGGCGTCGGGGAAAGCGAACGAAAGCATCGCGTGGGCGGAAGAGGTGAAGGATGGAAGGAAGGAACTCCCGAAAGAGCTCTGGGTTTCGATCGATTTAATGATGGAACATGCCCAATGCGTTTCACGTATTTTCACGTGTTGATGAAGAACAGGAATGAATCCCAGATTTCTGCAATTCCAAGCTTTGCATGGTCGAAAAAAAAAAGAACCGTGCTTTACAAAGGTCTTTAGTAGTCTCCGTCAAAATCCGAAAAAGCTCTGCCGCTGCTCTTCCCATCCAACTCGCGTTTTTGTCTCCGGTTTTCTGCCATGCCAGACATGTTTTGGGTGTCAAAAAGCCGGAGGCACGCCGGCTTCGGCTCCAAGACGGTCTATTATATATAGTCTGCTGGGTAAGAAATGAGATTCTGGAATTCCCTCTCTCTCTCTCTGCAACGGAATTTCGTCTCCAATAATCAATAATCTCAAGTCCCAGCCTATTCTTCTCCTTCTTCCTCTGCTGCTCTTCCTGAGCCGCTCAACGATGCTAGGTCATCTGCAAAAAAAGGGTGTGGGAATTGCAGCTACTGGGAACCTGCTCAGACAGGTGGCCTATGGTGGACTGGAGGGGTGTCCATCATGGTCAACAGGTTACCGGGCCAGATCCATCGGACTACCTCACCTGAAGATTTAAGGTGCACCTCGTCGCCTTCTCAAGATCCCCAACTGGCTGGCGGCTGGCGGCTAAAGAGATTCACATCTGCTCGAACATGTTCGGGATGGCCCAAAGGTTTTCTGAAGCCGCTGAAGCTATATAGATCCTTTCTCAAGCTGCGGTTGCTTCTCATCTCCTCATTCCAGTTTCAAGTCCCAAATGTCTCCCACCAAAACACCCGTCCTCTCCACCGCACTCTGTGTTCCAAGGGGCCGTTGGGAAAGGCTCGATGTAGGCCGCACGGATGTCGTAGACGATCTTATCATCGGACTCGTCATAGCCGATGATGTGCTGACCGGCGCACGGGTGGTTCCGGGGCGCGGCCGGACCGGACCGTCGGATGGCGTCGGGAGCTACGTAGCGATCCGGTGGGACTGGCATTTTTGACTGAACAGTTGGGGTGCTTATGAAGGGTCAATGTAGGTGTGGTAGTCCAGTCCCATTGGTCGTGTCAGGGTGAGGGAATCCCCAATCTGAGCAGCTGCCTCTGGTGCTCATACGAAGGAATCACATGATCTCTTCAGCTTCTTTGGCGAAAACAAGCTACCCTGTGCAGGTAGCTGACCAATGAATCAAACAACCAAATGCCCTGCTTGAGCAATGTTTGTTTCACCAAAACTGTTTAAATATAACCGGGATCGGCTGAAGAAACACATGGCTGCAGAACAAGTACCATTAAACTCTGAAGCCACATACTGTCGAGAAAACTGTCAACTAACCAAAACAACCATCAAATTGGCAAAACTATATGGATTTCTTACTAATGACATTTCTTTTAGCCAAGCCCGCCCTCTGTTCCGCCGTTTACCGTCAAGATGAGGCACCGGGATCACCACATTGATGCAAAAGGCTACCAGGATGCCTGTGGAGAAACTGAGATGAGGATTGATGTGTCTGACAAAGCTTCTACCTGGC